GGTTCCTGCCAGGGTGCTCTAGGGGAGAGCGGGGGAGCGAGCGGCGTGGTCCCCTGAGCGTGTTGCTGGGGGTGGATGTTGCCGTCGAGGTTCGGTTCAGCTCATCCCAGCTGTGGCCCGCGGGCGCTTTTGGGGTGAGCACTTAGAAGCAGGTCGGTGGCAAGCCGGGCAGCGCGGTGCGAGCGGCAACACAGGGCCCCCCTGGGAAGGTGCCTCTGGAATGTGGAAGGGTGAAGAGCTGGGGTGTGATTGCGGGGCACTAGGGGTAAAAGAGGTCTGTGTGGAGGCTGGGTCCGGTTCCCAGTGGTTTGCGTGCCCAGACGGATCCCCACTGCATTCTTCCAGCTGCTGCTCCGTGGCGCCGAGCAGGAGCTCCCTGCTCCGAGAGAGGAGACCGTAAGGATGTTCGGTTAGCCTGGTAAACAGGAGCGCATGGGCTGTCGGCGGCTCTCACAGTGCCCTGCCCGTTTCGTCCTCTCTGTTTCCTGTGTCTTCTCCGGGCTCAAACCTTCTGGAACGCAAACATTTGTGAATCATTATCATTGCCAGAAAAGTAAGAGTTATCTGGCTGTGCTTACATAAAAGTTTTTGGATAAGTTGACCTATGTACAGTGAAGAACCTGACTGCTTTCCTGCTGTTATTTTAGGATCAGGCAGCCTAAACAGTGGGATCAGGAGCTTGTGAGGAATGTTGATGCTGCCGACGGCTTATTTGTTTTTTCTTGTTTCATTCATTGCCACTGATCAGAAAGAAAAACCAAAATGCCTTTTCAGTAATCCTGGTAATCTTCCTTGTGCTTCAAGGAGAATCTGCTGCCTTAGGGAAGTAGCTGTCCTTCAAAGCTAGCTCAGCTCTTCCTCTGGAGCTGAAGTGGTTGGTAGTGCCGCCTCACCAGCGCTTCTCCGGGTAACGTTTGGGATGCAGTAGCTGGAGTTGGTGCAGCTTCAGTGAGGAGGCACAGCGAGGACGGTGAACTCACTGGCAAGTGAGACTCTTGGAGAATCACCCCGAGCTGCAGATGTGAGGACAAGCACACACACAGGGGCAGCATCCTCACGGCTCAGTCTGCAAACATGCGGCAATTGGAAACCCAGCCCTGTGCTGAGAGACGTGTTTCTGCTCTCTGCAGACACACACCGAGACTTACTGTGGGCTGAGCTGGACCAGCACATGCCTGCTACAAGGCAGGGCTCTTGGAGGGGCTTCCAAGGTGTTTGCTCTCATTTAATTCCAAGGTCCTTGTCATTTGGCTCTCAGTTATTTGGGGCAGGAGCAGGCTGTGCAGAGCTGCACAGCATTTCTCACTTGGGGCCCTCTGAACATCAGTACCATCAAGGATAGTCTAATTGGACTTGGGTGTCTGTATGGCCGCCTTCATTTCAGAAGGGTGCAGAAAGTCAGGTTTGTTCAGCTCATATTGTTTTCTTTCACACTGACAGAGGTTTTTGTTACTCACTAACTATGGTCTGTTGTTAATATCAATGACAATGATGGTCATGTGAGGACAATGGAAAATGAGGAGGGGTTCATGTTCTCTAGCTTAATGAAAGAAATATTTTGGAGTATTTGTCGTAATATCTTTAGTGTTCCCCTGCATACAGTCAATACATAGTAAAATTAGCCTATTGAAAAGCTCATTTTCCACTTGTCTGTGTTGCTTGACAAAAAACCTGTTGATTTTAGGGTATATTTTAGGTTTATGGAGGTGTTTACCAGCATCAGTTTAGTCAAACACTGCTCTGAAATTGGCCTCAAAGCTAAGGGCAGTTTTACTTTGTTTCTTCCTCAGCTGCTGAAAACATTCTTGCAGTTTAAGACTATTGTCCTGTATTTCCAAGCAGAGGGGGTCATCCTGTTCTTCTTCCTACCAGGCTGTTGACAGGGTCTTAGTAATCATGCCCGTGTTTATTCTTTATTGTGTGCCTATGTATTTTTCCCTCCCCATCAGTATTTGCACTTCTATTTCCATGGCCATGAAATGATCTGCAGTTTCAAGTCTGAACTGACTTGCTTCGTCATCTGCTGTTAATTTGGGAAAGCCCACTAACAGAAACTAATTGTACTTATTTTTAAGGAATCAGCAGAGTCACTCCTGCAGAGCTGCATGATCAGTTCACTGCTTTGCCCAGTTCTCTGCTTACCATCGGTGTCTTCTTCACTTCTTATATCTGGCAGATTTCTGGTTTCTTAGAACCTCTAACTGGTCTTCACATCTTCATTATGTTTTTGCACGTATAGCAGGATTTGGCAGGAGCTCATTTAAATATTTTCCACCCTTGCCTGGGAATAGGGCTATTTGTGCAACCGAAAGTGAGTGCTCTGTACAGTGCTCTGGATAGAGGGTTGTCTGTTCTTGAGGAAGTGGTTGCCAGAAGAAAAAATGATGGAGCAAACAGAGAGGTCACTCAGCGGGATTCTTGAGGGATTCGAGGCTCTGGGACTGTTGGGAGGCTCAGTGTGTTGTGGAAGTGATGTGTATGGTCCTGGAAGGAAAGTTTGACATCATTTCCCTCGCAGTATCTAGCTCCTGGCCGCTT